TTACTACAACTCTCTGCGTAAATATTAAAGCATTGCGTTATAGATGAGACCAACAACAGAGAAAAGTAAAAAAAGATCAAGAGAAGCGGGCGGCGTGTAAACTCTGGGCAGACCAGCGGGCTTTCGTTGCTTGCTTGCGTTCCTCTTTCCTTACCTTGGAGCTGTCATTCTTTCCAAGCGTTTATATCTGTGGCTTTCTTCTTGCTAGACGGTTACGTGGAATTCGTCTTAGTCTCGGGTTAGGCGGTTACGTGACAGCCATGCATCTTCTTCTTCTTCTGGTTCGGATCTGTACGTGGCACGGAGCAGCACCTACTTCCTTTTCTACATGTTTCGTCTTAGCGGGTGGCATTCCAACTCGGCCACGCCTACGGCAACGACCGCTGTTAAGGTCGGCGCGGTTCTCCCTCCTCCACCAAATTGGGGCGCCTACCTTTGCAACTGGCCTCACGGTAGGAAGCCAACGCACAAGCATAGCCGCCCCCAGGGAGGACCAAAAGGAGAACTGAGTTTGAGACCAAACCTAACAGACACGAAGCAAACCCGGCAGCAGCTCTTACTTCTTCTACATCGTCAGTCTTCAAGTAGGGCGGCCGTGGCTGCTACTTCTTCTACTTCTAGTGGTGCGAACGAGGATAGTTTCTTCTTCGCCGGTTTCTAGTGGAAACGAACTGGCGCCAGCTTCTTTTACAACCGCCAGAACCACGCAGAAAAAAGCAGAACGTTTTACGGTCGTCTGCGTTCTCCGGGTCGACACTTCTTGGGAGAAAGGTGACTAATAACGCAGCAGACCTCACGGGAGAAGCAGCGCTGGAAAGAGAAAAGTCATACCGCTCCCAAGGACATGAAGGACCAGAAGGAGAATCGCAGACCAAACCTAACCCAAACAAGGCCGTGCCTCCGTGGGTCTCTCTCCCTTCTTCTTTACCTCCAGACAGCGGGTGGCTGCGGGGACTTCTTCTACCTCGTCTTCTTCCCTAGTAGTCGGAGAGTGTTTGCGTGGAATTGTGCTACATCAACTTCTTCTCCAGTAGTTGCAGTTGGCGAGCGACTACCTGCAGTTCTTCTATGTCGTCCTCTTCTCCAGTTGGCGGGCTATTGCGTGGCCTTCCTGTGCTTCGTCTTCCTCCTCAGGTTGAACGTGTTCTACGTCGCGCCATCCTTCTTTGCGCGCGATTTTACGGTCGGTTGCAATTCTCCCTATCGAGTTTCGGGATGTCTTTGCAGCTGACCCTGAACGGTGTGGAAAAACAACACTCAGAAGCAAAGCCCGCCCCAGGCTTGGCTTCGAGACTTGGGAGAATTGCGACCCAACCTAACGACGGCGTATTCTAGGCCTCCCGGAAGGCGCTGCGGCTATAACGCTTTGCGGCTTTGCGACAGCGAGCGCCGCGTGGCTTTGCGATAACGCTTTGCGGCTTTGCGACAACGGCTTGTGGCATTGCGATAACGCTGCGCGGCTTTGCGGCAGCGGTTTGCGGCTTTGCGATAACGCTTTTCGGCTTTGCGACAGCGGCTTGCGGCTTTGCGGTAACGCTTTTTGGCTTTGCGGCAGTGGTTCGCTGCTTTCCGGCGTCTGTTGGTAGCTTTGCAGTAGAGGTTCGTGGCTTTGCGCGACAGCGGCTTGTGTTGTTGCTTTGCGATTGCGGCAACGGTTTGCAGCTCTGTGAA